AGCCATCTATCGCTGCTGCTTGGACGCAGCCGTGGGTTAACCCATGTGGGTTTCCCCCATGCGGGCATAGGGTGCTAGGCGGGATGCAAGACGCGGGGCGTGGCGTCTGCGTCTGGACCCGACATCTCGTCCGAACGTTTGGGCACTAGGCCTTCCATTAGTGGATTTATTTTACTACGAGACTCACCATGTGGGCTACCTATACACCTAGTATTACATTCTTTTGGATAAAAGTGAGGACCCATAATTGCATCCTTTAATAGATGGGAGGAGGAGTACCGAATACATACCATTGCATGGTGTCACCCCTAGCAAGTGATTGAAACTATCTCCAACAGGACTTACCTAAACACAAGACCCATTCCATGGTTTGGGTCACGCACAGCGAAAGGGTCAGGCACCCAAAACTTTCCTTTTCCAACAACGAAGGCAAAAGAAGAGCCCGCCGAGCACGGAGCTGGACACCCGGCGGATTCCGTCATCCTCACAAGTCACGACCAACACGCGTACAGAAGGAGCTTCTCGAACATATGCCCTAGCCTGACTCCTCCACAGTCCCCACCGCCGGCCAATTTCTCCAGCCAAGGCACCTCGCCGATCTCCATTCCCCCTGAATCGCATAGCAAAGTCCAGATTGCACTTGCTTTGGCCCATCCAGCCGTCACACCAGCCCCACGCCGTGCCGCCAGTCGCCGCACGAGGGAGGGGCCCCGTGATGCCGAAGAAGATGGGCATGAACTCCAAGGCGGAGGCGGCCCGCGAGCACTGCTCGGCCGCGACCACCAGGAGCGTGCCAACGAGGAGCAGTACTGGGTCGAGGCCGAGGGCCCCATGTCCCGCGCCACGCGCCGCCACCAGGAGGAGGATGCCGAGAAGCGCGCCGAGGCCGCGGAGCGCAAGGACGAGAACTGCCGCCTCGCTGAGGCGGAGGCCGCTACCATCGCCGCTTCCGCGTTGGAGCCGTCCAAGGCCGCTTCCTCGTCGACGCCGTCCAAGGCCGCCACGCGCAAGGCGTCCCACGTCGCCGCCCCGCCCCCCAAAGTCACCGAGGCCGAGCTCGCGCGCCGCCGCGAGGAGGAGCGCCGCCGCCTCGAGCGAAGGCCGAGCTCGAGCACTTTCCTCTTCTTTCCCCTCCCACGAAACGGTTGTGCTGGCGCGGCAGAGAATTGGGTCGAGGAGAGAGACAAAGGCATATTGGGGTTCCCACTCGACTCCGACGCAAATTGGGTCTTTGGTTTGGGTACTCCGTTGGACCGTCATTTTTTCACCTAAAGCAACATGGACGACGCATATTTGGGTTTGAGTGCCGTAATGGCTAGGCTGTTGGAGACAGTCTGACACGCAGTAAGATAGTACTACCTTGTCCCAAAAACAATGCAACTGTGAGTTTGGTTAACTTAAGTTTGATTGAGTTAAAATAATATCAATGGTTAAGACTCTAAATATATATTATAAAAAATATATTTTATAATAAATCAAATAATAGCCATTTAATATGATAAGCATTAAAATCTTTTTTTTATATAAACTTAATCAAAACTTGATATAGTTTGGTTGATCGTTGTTCTAACATTGAATCTTTTTGAGATGGAGAGTGGGCACTCCCTCCGCCATAAAAGGATGCAATTCTCACTTTTCAAGGATTCAAACGATTTGAAGTTTGATCAAAGTTATATAAAAAAGTACTACATTTATGATACACAATGAGTACTATTAAATTAATTATAAAATACCCCTTCATTCTAAATTATAAGACGTTTTTGGCTTTTGTAGATTCATAGCTTTTGTTATGCACTTAGCTATAGTGTATGCCTAAATACATACTGTAATAAAAGTAATGTGTATAAAAGTACCAAACTGTCTTATAATTTGGGACGAAGGAAATATGTTTTGTAGTAAATCTAGTTGGAGACATAAATATTAATCTATTTACTGTAAATTTAGTCAAAGTTAAATATATTTGACTCACACAAATTTCGTAGGTGCATCTTATTGTAGACGAAGGGAGGAATAAGCTAGGTCACATTATTACATATCACCACCCTATACAAACATACTCCAGTCTACGTGCCGGCTTGGTGCTGACGACCAGGGCATGCATCTGATGTACCTGTTGTACGTCGCGTAGCACGGACCGATTGCTTGTGAAGGGTACTGCAGACTGGGCGGAGGCAATCATGTCGGCCAAGCACCACGCATGCATGCGCAGCTGTTGGACGTAGCGTACTACGCCTACGCGCACGCAACGGCCGGAGGAGTCAGTTCGATTCCGATAGAGACGATGCATGCATCATCATGCGTATGGCCGCGCTAGCTATGGCCTCAGGCAGGCAGGCAGGCAGGCAGGCTGGCTGGCATGCGCGGACCATTATTTTGTCTCGTTTACGCGGTGCAGCTAGCCAGCCAGCCATCCGGTGATCGGCGACACTGCCGTGTAGCCGCAGCTGGGCACAATAATGTGTGTCCCCTCTGTTGCGTGCAGACTTGCTTGTGATCGAGTGCAACAGGGAACACACAGCTTTGACTCCAGTTCGGCTAATTTGGACCCACGTTTTAGGAAACTGCTAGTATCACGGCTCGTTTGTTTAGCCCTGATTTCACCGGGAATAATTTCACGTGATCAAAGATTGTATAAATTAGCACAACATTTTAGGTTAGAATCAGAGATCCATTCCCTGGGAACCAAACAAGCCCTTTGAATCGTTCCAGAGATCCATTCCCTAGGAACCGAACAAGCCCTTTGTTGGATCGGAAACAGAACCGATCGAATCATTGCCTCGATTTTTTTTCAAAGTTCGGTTATCTGAAACTAAAAACCAAAATTCATATGACTGTGCAATTTATTTTTGGGTATAGTTTCAGTTGGTCCTTATCGAATTGACCAATGAGCGTACACATACGTATCCAGAATTTCACAGAAATCAAGCTCGAGGATTGACCAGCTGAAGTTAATTGCACTACTTTCATAGTTGGTCCATAAACAGAGTTGAATGTGCAAATATCTTTTCCTGCTCTTCTCTCAACCAATTGTGTAATTTGCTAAGGCCTTGTTTAGTTTCTCCCCCTAAAATTTAGTCCATATCCTATCGATGTTTGGACACATGCATAGAGTATTAAATATAGACTAAAAAAATAACTAATTGTACAGATTACGACTAATTGGAGAGACGAATTTTTAAGCCTAATGGTGCTACAGTATAACTAATTGCTTTCATATGAGGCCGAGAGGGACATGCATGGAGATAATGGAAACATGTCACATGTTAGAATCTGTGTAACTCACGTCGAAATATATACTTAGTGGATGTAATTAGAATGTTACCAATACATATGTTGTAAATTGTGTTTCATACGTGTTAGTTGGTGATATGTCATGAATATAGTTTTTTCAAATGAGCTATAACTCAACCATATTTTCTTTTCAGCCTTCGCACATAGCATTGTCTGGCTCAGATGGAAACTGACTATGGTAGTTCCTTTACTGGTTCACAAAGAGATCCACCATAATAATCATTTCTATAGGCGGTTTATTAAGAGACTCCCATGTAATTATCATTTCTATAGGCTAGTCTTAGACTTTAATAAACATTCTTTATAGGCGTTTCATATATCACAATATGTGTTTTTTCGACCAATCGTCATGTTACATGATTTCTACAAATTGATAGATACTATCAAAAACCAACTATAAAAATACTTTAAAACCATCATTATTGTTGGGAGTTAGCCTAATAGTGGGTCATCATCCCCTTTGCCTGATAACTGTCTTTATAGCCTTTTCTAGAACTGTCGCACTCCGAAAGTATTACAAAGAGTGGCATCCTCATAGTACTGAGGACCACTTCAGCCTTCGCAAAATGAATGCTCTTTGCGTTGAAGACAAAAGCCAACAAAGGACCCAACACCAAGGGTTTCCAGGCGAGGGCGTGAATGAGTAATGTCACGGGGCAATGTAATTCCGGTTGTAACCTTGAATATCCTAAGAATATAGTTGGTAGGTCTAGGGCATTTTGTAATAATTGTAAATAAAGTGACCCATTAGCTCCCTATATAAATATGTTTTCTATCATAATAGATGGGGAGAGAGAAGAAAATAAAACCCTGATGTGCTATCTAACTCTTCATGTGTTTCGAACTTTGTTGCGAGCAAAGTTCTCTAGCTCCCCCACATCGAAGAAGCTTTGAGATTTTCGATATCCCAACAACTAAAAATGGATTTTTGTCATAGTGATTCTCTTTTGCATGTATTGATGACGAAGGGCCGATAATAAGAAGGTTTATATGCATCCTTTTTTGTTTTTCCTATTATATTTTACATATAAGGTGACTTGAAATGTACCCTTAAATCCAGTGGCCTACAGGGACCCTGGTCCCACCACCAGAACCTAAACATAATAATAAGGAAATAACCCTGGTCCCACCACCAGAACCTAAACATAATAATAAGGAAATAAGTATATATATAACCGTAATCTTGTGTGAGAACAGATACGTTTAGCCTAATTAGTCCATAGACTAGCCAAATAAAAACAAACAATCAGAGCCCAAAATCCAAATCAACTAAACAAGGCATATATATATAAAATCTTTTTGAGAACAGATAAGGTAGGGAGAGAGAGACGTACAATCAGAGAGGGGATCCCAATAAAAAAACTTTTTTGAAAAGAAAAGAAAACTATAAGCCGGACATTTAAATTGGAGCCCTTGGGCCACCGGGGCGTGGCGACAAGGCACAACGCGACGTGCTTCCTCCCCGGAACAGCGCCACCCAACCCAACCACGCGACGAGCCGACGACCGCCGCCCGCCCCGCGTCCGTCCAGCACCTCTCCCTCTCTCGCTTTTCCTCCGCATTATTCTCACGCGGTCCTCCCATCTTCCTCAGCATCGCGCGCGAGAAGAAGAACCCGTCCGCCCACCGCGCGGAGGTGGCCGGCCGGCCGCCGGCGCCGGGTTACGTGCAGCGGCAAGCAACCGTTAGCTGCTACTACAAGGCGGAGAATGGAGGCTACGGCAGCGGCTCCAGCGCCAGCGGCGGAGACGGACCCGAAGCACCACCACGGATGTCTGGCCGTCAGGACGTCGCTGCCGCGGTGCGCCCTCGGCGCCGGCAGCGGCGGCTCCTCTCTGCCTGGATCTTCCGGTGAGTAGAACGTCTCCTGAGTCCAGACTAATCCCCTTCCCTTCCTTGTGATTTGTCCCCCCTTCGCAATGCGTGATGTCTGCTTCCGTTTGCGTAATTCATCTAATAGCAGCTTTCTTACATTTATGGTATCTTTATTTATTTTTACCGCTGTTTACTGTCTTGGTGTTCTTGAAGCGGCGAATATTCTCCTCTGCGGTGGGCCTCGCCGTGCTGATGAGTTCTCAATGATATTCCTCTGTTCCTGCAGAGTTCATTCATCACTTCTTTTCTTGCACTCTTTTCAGGAGCTGTTGTAATCCTTGCAGGGGCCGGGGCCGGTCCTTTTCTTTTCACGACTTTTGCTGCATTTGGCGTTCTTTTCATCTTTTGGGCAATGCCATTTTGCGGCGTATTGATGTTAGCACCTACCCCTAATTGGTACCTAATTGGTAGCAGGACGCTGCGATTTTCCATGTAAAAAAAGTCAGCACTACATGTGCCTCTCAATCCTGTACTTGGTGTCGCTTTTGCCACCATTTAGCGGCCTAGGAGAGGAGAGGCAGGATAAACCTAGAAACAGGAACTAATCATGGTTCTTGTCCTTTCTCCTTTTCCAGAGGCTAAAAAAGCATATTCTGGGGCCAAAATATTTGTACCCAGTTTTGTTTGAAGTTTTAGTCGGCCATTAGTTCCCACGGTAAGATGTGAAACTTTGTTGATTAGTAAACATGGAAGTATACGTTATTGCCGATGTCTCCATGTTTGAAAGACTGACAGACCGCGTTGATCGCATAAGAATATTAAAAAGAAAAACTCGTACGGCTGCAGTGTCAGTCTTGCTTGTAGTTTTCCTCATTTTTTTTCTCTTTTTTTTTTACAATTTGTATTGTAGTGAATCCTAGCATTGTTTTTAAAATTTTTAGGTTTTTATCACTTCAGTCCCTGAAATAAAATGTTCAGAGTTTCTGGTTGATCTATCGTTTCCATAGTGTTTAATGTTTGCCACGGTCACACGGTACTCCTACCAGCATTTTCAGTTGTGCTCAGAGTTGCAAGATTCATCTGTTGCCGTCTCTCCCTTTCCCTGCTCATTTTGGTACTAAATGATGGCGCCTTTCTGCCTCAAAGATACACATGACCAAGCCACATCAACCACTATTTTGAGAAATAATTCTGAACTATCAGCTCAACAACAGCAAGACAAGCCAACAATTGCTTTGGCTTCTGGACATGGCTTTGTTGGGCTCACACGTCTCTCACTGGTGGGAGGCATCCGATTTGGTAGGAAATCTCTGGGCGCTGATAGATCCATTGGCAGATTTGTTGGGCAATGAAAACAGTGGTTGGTGAGAAACTCTTGGGACTGTTTGCCTCAGATTAAGAACATTGTCATGTACTGTGACCTCATGTTAGGGGTGGTATCAGTTTGGTAGGATTAAAAAACACTTGCTCTGTCTTCATCCTATCATGATAGATCCATTTCAGTATAATACAAAGAGTCCAAGCTAGTATTTAAGATGGCTTACAAGGCTAGTGTCAATAGCTCTGAGATCCCTGGCCCTGAGGAATTTTTGGCTCTGGGATGCTGGGGCAGCTAGCACTGTGGGCCAAAATTGCCAGTTCTGATATTCCTCCTCTGTCTCAGCTCACCTTTTTTTTTGGTTTTTACTTTTAGTACAGTACATATATAGATGATTTCAAGTTTGGGACATATGTACAGCTGGTTTTATGAGAAATGCATGTTTCATGTTCACTGATCATGTGATGTAATGTGATTGTCCTTGTGCAGATGAAGCGTCATGTGGATCACCGAGATGGATAGGGAGAGGCCTCTCATGTGTGTGCATCAAGCGAAAAGGCACATATGAAAGAATATGCATGAACCTCACACCAGTGCAGGTAATAGACTAACAGTTCATTATTAGAATGATTATGCAAGAGTTTCTATGGTGGCAAGTGACCACTCAAAAGGACTTCCAAGGGCTTTTCCTTTAAGCTATTATTAGTTTATTACAATCAAATGAGCATTTGGTGGTCATGTGTAATTTCAATGTACAATTTAAACTCTGAAGGATAGACATAGCAAAATTGGTGGTCCTGCTCAAAAAAATATCTGGAGAATGTCTTTTCGTATGCATCAAGTTTTTTTTTACTGTACTAAAAGTAAAAACCAAAAAAAAAGGTGAGCTGAGACAGAGGAGGAATATCAGAACTGGCAATTTTGGCCCACAGTGCTAGCTGCCCCAGCATCCCACAGAGCCAAAAATTCCTCAGGGCCAGGGATCTCAGAGCTATTGACACTAGCCTTGTAAGCCATCTTAAATACTAGCTTGGACTCTTTGTATTATACTGAAATGGATCTATCATGATAGGATGAAGACAGAGCAAGTGTTTTTGAATCCTACCAAACTGATACCACCCCTAACATGGATATCCTTAATTGCAGTGTTTCTGTATCCATATCACATATTGGGTTAAAAGTAGTAAAGCTAACGACTTTAACAGGCAAGCTGCTTAATGAGACTGAAACCACTTGTTATTCTATTCCAATTGCTGGTAATTTGCAGGAAGAAAGGCTTCAGAGATTGAAGCATCGCATGAAGGTTTACTTTGATCCATCTAGACGAGATCACCAGGTGAGATTTCTGCCATAAGTACAGTAAATGTTTCATTCAATTGATTAGCTCTGCACTTGCTCTTGTCAATATAATGTGGGAAGTACTGAATTGCACAGAACAATTGCTCCAAAAAGAATTGTATTATTTTTCAAGATTTAAAATCAAGTATAAGTACTTACCTTTCTTTGCCACTGGGAATCTTGTGCTTTCCTGGACTGGACAGCTGCTCACGTCGGTACTTCTATATATGCATCACTTTCAGCTTGAATACTTTAACAATGCTACTTCTAAGAACTGAGATCATTAAATCGTCTATGCACTTGGCGGCATAATTTTGTGGTATTGAGTCATACATATATGATGGCAATTAGGAACTAAAAAGTTACGCAAAATGTTTAGTACTGCATAATCAGTTTGGCATTAGTTTCTATACATGGATATTTATGTGGTACAGCACAAAAATATAATTATGCAGTACTAAATCATGCCGGTTGAGATGGTTTGAACATGTCCAATAGAGACCTCCAGAGACACCGGTGCGTAGTGGAATCCTAAGCCAGGATAGTAACGTGAAGACAGGCAGAGGAAGACCGAAGTTGACTTGGTTAGAGGCAATAAAAGGAGACTTGAAATGATGGAATATACCCAAAGACTTAGCCTTAGATAGGAGTGCTTAGAAAACAGCTATTCACGTGCCTGAGCCTTGATTGCTTCTGCTGGGTTTCAACTCTAGCCTATCCAAACTTGTTTGGGACTTAAAGGCTTTGTTTTGTTGTTGTTGTTGTTGTTGTTGTTGTTGTAAATCATGAAAATTATGCATATAGTAGAAATCAGCAAGTACACATTTCTTTTGCAAAATGTTTACGGCTGACTTCTCAGCTTGTCAGTAGTTTTTGCACCTGCGTAGTTATGTCTCTGTTTATTTCGCTATCTCAATCAACTGAACCCTGGTAAGCAAATATACTAACAATGACAGGAAGCCCTGAAAGCTCTTTGGCATGCAACATACCCTGATCAAGAACTTCAAGGTTTGATATCTGAACAGTGGAAGGACATGGGTTGGCAAGGAAGAGACCCATCAACTGACTTTAGGTAGGCAATGACTGATCCGAACCAAAAGTTCTCAGAGTACCTTTGGAAGTGCATACAGCTTTTAGTACCAAATCAAGTGACGTTTGAATACATGTGACAGAGGTGCAGGATTCATATCTCTGGAGAATCTTTTGTTCTTTGCCAAGACATTCTCCGTAAGCGCTATGTACCAGTTGTTTCATTATTTGAAAGTCCTCTAGTCTTGCTGGTGAATAACAATCATATTTTACTTCCACAGGCCTCATTTCAGAGACTTCTAAAGAAACAGTGTGGTAACAGAGCCACATGGGAGTACCCATTTGCAGTTGCTGGTGTAAATATTACATTCATGATCATGCAGATGCTCGATCTCCAGTCAAGTAAGGACTGACCCAAACTCTCCAATGCCACCTGGGTATGATTATAAAAGGTGGTTTTCTGAACACAACGTTAATGTTAACAACAGCTAAGCCAAGAACATTTGTGCGAGCCATTTTTATCCAAATGCTCTCAGGTAGGACTGATACAGTTGACTTTTTCTTTTTTTTTTTTTTGCTCTGACATGTGAAAATACCATCAGTATCTAACAACTTGCCCTTGATTTCCTTGTCCCAGAGGATGAGTGGGCATTTGATCTGCTCTACTGCGTCGCATTTGTTGTGATGGACAAGCAGTGGCTGGACAAGAATGCGTCTTACATGGACTTCAATGTACGTTCAGCGTATGCACATTTCATCCTATGTTTCAACTCAAAGTGCAAATCTTCTACTGATCTCATGTTTGTGATGCACTACCAGGAGGTGCTGAAGTCGACAAGAGCCCAGCTGGAGAGGGAGCTTATGCTGGACGATGTCATCCACATCGACGACATGCCATCATATAGCCTGCTTTGCTAGTAACCAAAATACCGAATTCGCTGGAGAACAGAACTGAGTTGATGGTTCAACTATATAGGACCTCCCTTTCTATGATTTCTGGGAGAAATTTTTTAGCAACAAAGTAGAGTGATGATGAAGGGTGGGCCTGGTGCAAGCGGTAGAGTCTTACTGCCTGTGACCGGAAGGTCCCGGGTTCGAGTCGCGGTCTCCTCGCATTGCACAAGCGAGGGTAAGGCTTGCCACTTACATCCTTCCCCAGACCCCGCACAGAGCGGGAGCTCTCTGCACTGGGTACGTCCTTTTTTTAAAGTAGGGCCTTGTTTAGATTGCAAATTTTTGCAATCTGGACACTGTAGCACGTTTCGTTTGTATTTGACAAACTTTGTCCGATCATGGACTAACTAGGCTCAAAAGATTCGTCTCGTGATTTACAACCAAACTGTGCAATTAGTTACTTTTTTTACCTACATTTAATGCTCTATACATGCGTTTAAAAATTGATGTGATGGAGAGAGAATGAAAAAACTTAACTTTAAGGTAATCTAAACAAGGCCTAGAGTGATGATGTACTGGTATCATGCTGAATTTGGGCGTCTGTACTCTGTAGACAACTCATCTGCATATTTACCATACCGAATTAGTATTGCTGTCATTCGGTGCTAATGATGATGACATGCATATTCTCAGAAGTGTTGCAATGCTCCGTATTTGTCTACACACTTGTCAGCTATCTAATATTGATCCCTTAGATGCATTTGATCCATCCATTATTCTCCTAGCTGCATCATCTTTTCTGGAGAATGGAGATTGTCACAAACTTGCAGCAGAACTTCACTTCATGAGCACAAAGCCCCAACCGGGCAACTAGACAAGCATATTCCCTTGCGGTGGCAGTGACTCTGGTTGATCCAGTGACCCATCACCATCAACTGCACTTGTCCCAGGGATCTTAGAGAGCCGTGCTCCCTTCATCTCCTTCCTCAGCTTGTCCACGTCCTGCCACCTACCAGCCTCGGCATACAAGTTGGACAGTACCACATACACTCCGTGGTTACTGGGATCCAGTTTCAGCATCTCTCAATGCCACCGTGGTTCTTGCAGGCTGTCAGGAGTGCTCCCCATATCACGGTGTCCGCCTCGCATGACATTCCCCGTATCATATCCTCTGCCTCCGACAAGAGGCCGGCACAACCAAGGAGGTCCACCATGCATCCTTAGTGCTGGATTCCTGGAGCGATCCCAAAGTTCTTCTCCATGGACCTAAACAGTCGGCGGGCCTCGTCCAGCAGCCCTGGGTGGGAGCATGCCGAGAGCGCCCCGACGAGTGTGGTTGCGTTCGGTGGCACACCCTCCTGCTGCATCCGCCTGAAAAGGTCGAGCGCGCGCCCGCTGTGCCCGTGGTGTGCCAGACCCGAGATGAGAGCGTTCCATGCACCGGCACGCGCCGTTCTGGCAGCCCGTCCAGAACTGCAAACGCCTCCTTGATTGCGCCATTTTTGACGTACATATCGATCAACGCCGTGCCGAGGATGGTGCCAACTGCCATGCCCCGTGCCACCATTAGGTCGTGCACGTGACGGCCCATCTCGAGCCCGCCCGACGCTGACCGCGCGCACGCCGACAGCACAGATGCCAGCATGGCGCCGCAGGGCTGGAAGCCCACGCGGACCATCTCATCGAACGCCGCCATCGCGTCCTCGTGCCGCCCGTTCTGCGCGTACGTGGAGACCATGGTAGTGTACACGCCCGCGTTCCGCTCGGGCACCTCGTCGAACACCCTGCGCGCGGCCCGGAGGCGGCCCACCACAGAGTAGCCCCGAACGAGGCCATTGGCGACGTAGGCGTCGAGGTGGACCCCGTGCCTGACGGCGAGCGCGTGGAGCTGTTCGGTGACGGGGAGCGGGAGCGGAAGGCGCGCGGCGGCCTTTAGGAGGAAGGGGAAGGTGGGCCGGCCGGGCGCGAGGGCACCAGTGACGCGTAGGCGGGAGAAGAAGGGGAAGGCGGCGGCCGGATCCGGGGAGGAGGCGAGCACGCGGAGTGTGGTGTTGAGCGTGAAGGAGTTGGGCGTGCAGGGGAGGGAGGAGAGGAGAGGAGCGCGAAGTCGGGCGGCAGCTGGGATCTGGGGAGAGCGCAGCGTGGCGGTCAGGAGCCGGAGGGGCGAAAGCGCCTCGGCGAGGCGGCCGGAGGCGATCATGGCAGCGTGCATGCACGGGCTAGGGCGCGAGTGTGGCGGGAGCGGTCAGCGAGGAGGAGAGGTTGGGCGGAGGCTCACGCTGCGCTTGCCGGCGCAGCCATGACGCAAGCGCCAAGGCATGTTTGGATCCTGTACCTTCGATGTTCGATAGATGGCAGGTACCGAGCGGGGAAGGCAAAATGGCAATCGGAGGTGGTGTCTTATAAAAAATGTACTTATAAAAAATGTGAGTACTTATGATATCAAAGTATTATTAGATTTATTATGAGATGTATATTTTTATAGTATACTTCTTTATAAATATTAATATTTTATCTATATATTTAATTAAAATTTAGACACTTTAGTTATAATTGTTTTTTTAAGACGAGATAGTACCGATCTTAGGATTTACTATTATAAATGTTGTCTTCAAATAACTTATGTTTTTCATTTTCATGTGTGGAACTATAGTGGATTAGATTGTAGAATCCATTTAATTAAAAGGATCATTTGGATTGTACAATTATAATTCTCAAAGGTATGAGAACTACTGTTACTATTCACCTATATTAAATCTTACCATTATAATTCCTTGATTATTTGAAATACACTATGGTGTATGCTTGGAAAGGATTTCGGCCCACCTACAGGCGTACATAACGTCATAGTATTTTTGTATGGGTAGAACTGCCCTTCCACCTTTCTCTATATGTCATTGAGGTGTGGACTCCACTAGTCATCTCTTTCCTCCTTCCTTCCCCACCTTCTTCTCCACGACATCTTTCCCAACTACCCTCTGTTGGTCTTGCCCTGCTGACCGGAGTGCACACTGCCGCTGGCCGCTTGTCATGCTCCTGCAGGCGCGTGGGGCGAGCCGTCGTGGCGGCCACGTAGGCGCGCGGGCAAGTGTTGATGTTTCGAGTAAACACCAACGAGTAAAATTCTAATATTGTGTGTCTGGCTCGGATGGTGTGCTAAGAGGACACGAGGTTTATATTGGTTCGGGCAGAATGTCCCTACGTCTAGTTCGTTGCTGCTTCTCGTGTTACTAGCACTGAAAAGTTTGTAGTAGGGGTTACAAACGGTCGACAGATGGACATGTCCCAAATCTCTGGTGAGAGAAATGAATGGGTACCGAGAGCTCGGTCGCTGCTCGGCTATGTGTTCGAGGTTCGATGCTAGTGGTTTTTGATATGATGCGGTGTGATGCGATGCGATGCCCCTTAATGGGATGCCCTGCTTTTCCTTTTATAGGCCAAGGGAAAGCACGGGTTACAACAGGAGAAAAGAGGAGAACGAGAGGGAAAGTTAGTCTTTCAGGGTTGTCGGGCCTCTCCTTTCCTCTGTGCGGGTCCCGCTGATATGGCAGGTGGTGACAGGGACAGCTCCATGTTGGGCGCCTGTCCACCGATGATGCCATGCCCTGGTGTTGTCAGCGGGTCGTGACATCCCATCCCGCTCCAGCGGGCGGTGTAGCAAACCAGCGTGCTGATCAGCGGCCGTACAGGGAGTAGGCAGCATAGTGACCACGCGTCCGTCATTGTGGGCGATGTGAGTTCCCTGGAATGATATGTCGCGGGGACGGGTCATGTTGAGACATGACCGCTCCCTACATGATGCCAGAAGTTTAACCTTGGGTTGTACTTTCTAGCCCATAGTGGTTGGCGGCGGCGTGAGCTTCCTTTAGGAGCTGTGCCCGAGAGATCGGGCGAGGCGGAGCCAGCCTTCTGACATCGGGCGAGGCGGAGACCGCACTCAGTGATCGGGCGAGGTGGAGCCCGTCCCTAGAGGTCGGGCAAGGCGAAGCCCATGACCTTGGGGTCGAACGAGGCGGAGCTCGCCCTTAGAGGTCGGGCGAGGCGGATACCTGCCTTGGTGTCGGTTGGAGCTATAATCACACCTTTGACTGCCTAGATGGATTAACGTATAGCGACCATTAGCCCCTCCACTTTGGGTACCCTAGTATGGGTCCTCGACAGTATCCCCTGAGCTTTCGGAGGAGTAGAATACTCCTTCGGAGGCTTTTTCAAATGGGAGGACTCTGAGGGCTTTGGCCTTCTTTTGTAGCCGATGGCATAACCTAGGAACGGTGGTTCCCTTTCATCGAGACCGGACCCTTCGTGGGTATGGCCATGAGATTTGGTGGGTTGGAAAAAGTCTTTCCTGACTAGGGCCCCAGTATCTCGTTCGTGGGGGTCCGGCTAGGGCCAGCTGGTGACCGACTCCAGATTCTCAGCGGTCAATCCATATAGTTCTCGGGTCCGTTTAACCGATCCCGAGGGCTCTCTGCCTTCCTTGGGGAAAGAACCATGGATCGTATCCGGCCAAGACTTGAATGTGGGCCAGGATGCCCACAGCGCTTGTGCGCCTGGGTGCTGGTCGCTAGCGGACCCACCCCTCTCTACTTCCTTGCCTTGAAGGTGCCCAGAGCGGTTGTGGAACCCATCGATGGGCCAACCTTTTAGCTCCTAGGCGCAGACGGGCCGTAGAGGTGTTTTTAGATCCGTATTCCTCGCACTTGCGATGAGTCGTGACCCGTCCAGAGAGGTGAAACGTTCGGTGAGTTTTCGAGGGAACGGATAGAGATTGCGTGCACATATCCCGTGGCGTGACGTTGTGGCAGATCGTGATAGGTGCAGAGATCTAGGCGGGCGGTTGGTTTCCTCACGCCCGTCGCCCCTATAAAACCAAAGGGTTCTCCTCCTAGGTTTCATACCTTGCCTTCTTGCCTTCGCACCTGCAACCGCCGCCGCCAATCTCCTAGGCTTCCTACATCAGCGTCCCTGCCACCATCGAGCTCGCATCCACTTGCCCCCATCTTCCAATGGATCCGTGGTGCCGCTCTAACATCACCTTCCAGCACATGGAGGGCCTCGTCCATCGTGGCCTTCTCCGCATGTGGACCTCGGTGAGGAATGGCTGCTGCCCGGCAAGGAGGATCTACCGTTGTCGCCTAATGGCTACATGGTGTCATTCACGCACTTCCATGAGCGTGGGTTCGCTACCCCCACCCACAGATTTCTTCGGGGGCTGCTGCACTACTACAAGATCGAGTTGCAGCACCTCAATCCCAATAGGATCTAGCACATGGTGGCATTCGTCGCCCTATGCGAGGGATTCCTAGGAATCAGCACCCACTTCTATCTCTGAAGGTACTTCTTTGCCATCACCCTTCAGAAGAAGAGGGAGAAAAGCGGCACGCAGGAGATGCACATGCCGATGGGGTGTGCCGGCATCCAGCTCTGGAACAATCGGGTCAGCGAGTACCCACCGATGTGGCTGTTGACATCCAACAAGGGGTGGCACTCGTAGTGGTTCTACCTCAAGAACACCACCGCCGCCCTGCCGGAGTTCATCGAGAGCCTGATCGAGGAGGCCCCGGAGTCATGAACGAAGTGGGGCGTCCCGGAGAAGGACAAGAAGAAGATCTAGGATCACATCGCTGCCATCCAGATCCTAAAGGAGAGTGGCCTAAAGGGGTCAGGCATCATTGGGGCCTACCACGCAAGGAGGGTGGTGCTGTTGATGATTCACGCGCTCCTGCTGTACGCGATGGCGCCCGAGGCATCGTTCGATGGAATGACGCTTGCCGAGGGGGTGCTCTCCAACTCCAAGATCGCGCAACGCATCAAGGAGGTGATGGAGCCTTCGTGGGATGATGTGGGTGCCCCCCTTGACTTCATTTACCTAGTGTCGGGTCATCCTCCGATGTGGCCGAAGCCAGGTCATGTCGTCTTTGTAAGTTTCCCCTCTCTGTGTCTTTTCTTTAGTTGATTTCCCAACCTCTTGATACTAACTTTAAGGGGGACAGAACCAGCCGAGGGACCTCATCCTTATGGATCACCTAGCTCTATTGCCGAGGGCGAGTGGCTAAGGAAGGCGAAGGAGGACAAGAGGAGGAAAAGGCAGCGAAAGCTACAACCGTGGGAAGGGGAGGACAACACAACGACGATGACGATGGCGACGATGACGAGGTAGCCGATGATGTCGAGTGGGGCATCCTAGAGAACAAAGATGCGCTGATAGATAGTGGTTCACCCTTGCAGGAGTCAGGACCCTTTCCGTTCCACGGAGGGGAGGGTACGTCCGGGGAGCTGGCGGAGGCAGGACATACCGTCGGCCTCCCTCAGGAGTCAACAGGGGCGAGCGGCTCTGCCGTCGCATTTGAGATGCTAGTGGAGGTAGGTAGCTCCGCTGCTGTGCCCCAAGAGTCAAGGGGAGTGAGCCCCTCTACCTAGGAGCAGGGGGTGGGCTCGAAGAGGCATCGCCCAAACGAGGCGGAGCAGAGGTCGGGGGGTTCGCCCCCCAAACATATATGCCGCCCGATGGCACTGAGGTAAGTTATCAGTTCCCCTGCTTCCTCTATTTTAGGTGGATTTCATCATGACTTATGTTTTTCATTTCTTGCAGCGTCGAGAGGTAGCGTAATCCTTTGGCGCTGGCGCCAAAGAAGAGCATTGCCCTCCAAGCAAGATGGCAGCCGTCGACTGGTGCCGCGTCCATTTTGGGCGGGAGCGGCGCTAGTGCGACCGCATCCCCGACCAGACAAGCGCCGCCCATGGTGGCGCCTGTGCCCTCGGTGGGACGGGCGAACGTGGGGGCCCAAGGGGTGCCTTCGGAGGTCACCAAGCAGCCGGCGATGGCTACGATACCGCTGCCAACGATAGGGCGGACGGGGCTACCGACCATGCTCATGGCGCCAACCATGGTGGGTGCGACGTAGCCGGTCGTGACCCTGCCAATGCGGGTGTTGTCACAGTCGGGCACTATCGTTGTGGCGCCTGAGGTACTAGTGCGACCCTCGCCATCGGTAGCCCAGGCGACGAAGTCTGGCATGGGCCGGATGGAGGGGGACGTGGCTGAGGGCCCATCGATGGGTTCCACAACCACTCTAGGCACCTTCAAGGCAAGGAAGTAGAGAGGGGTGGGTCCACTAGCGACCAGCACCCAGACGCACAAGCGCTATGGGCATCCTGGCCCACATTCGAGTCTCGGCCGGATATGATCCATGGTTCTTTCCCTAGGGAAGG